GTCAACACTTATTTTAGTAAATATCCAAGTAATCAAGCAATCAAAACCCAGAAACACAATACAATATAAGGGCCAGTCAGAGATCATGTTTTTTTACCGTATATCCAGAGTGGGACTCGGAAAACATATTATTCAGTTATATACATTTGTCTATAATTACCATCATGATTAGTTCACAGTCATGAAAGGGCGTTGGAGAAATCGTATTATAAATGTATGTCTTGTTGATAACCTATGTGATAATTTAATAAATAAAAATAACGGATTATGGTCAAAAGTGCTGCTTCGCTCAAACGTTGCGAGTCTGAGCAGGAGTTAGTTAAAATCATAACATTCGACACATGTCATGTTGTACAATACATTTATTCCAAGTTTGATTTTATATAATGAAGCATGAAAAAGTAGATGTATTATCAGCATATTATTAAACATATTATTAAACATAATTTAATAGTTGTTTTCGATTTTATATAATATAGCTAACATAAGATGCTAGATAATCGTGACACTGACAGTTCATGTTTTAATTAAGCCCTTGGAAAACTCTGTTTGGTATTATTCGAGGTATTAGTGTGGTTTATTTTTCTTTGGTTTGGCTTTCGTGGTCATTCCATGACGTCATTATACGTCAATATTCGGCAGCTTATCATTGGTTAATGAGCCGGAAATGAGTCATGGGAAATGAGGGACATTTGAAAGAGTTAAGATTTAACAAACAAGTGAAGTGAGTGTGGAAATTTTGGCTTTGATCTCGAAACAACATTTAAGTTGAAGTCAAACCACTTGGAGGTAATAAATCTAATTTTGCGGAGTGTAATTACCAAGTACTTGATAATGATGCACCACTGTGTCGGTTCTTTTACATATCATAACTGACTCTTCAAACGTGTTTTCGGTATGACGAACCGAAAAGGCAAACTAACGTATATTAAACCGCAAACACCGATGTATTTTCGCCTAACACTGAAGTGCAATAAGTTCTGCAAGAACGATTTCCAACATTGATCAACATGTAAACACAGTTTACGCTGAGGAAATGATTTGTCTAAAAATACACAGGGGTTTTCCGTTTTTAAGAGCCTAATTGACCGAGGGCCGAGGCACGTGAGGTCGTTTAAAAATCTAAGTTAACGATACTTATTGGCGTTTTCTCCGATTCAGTTACTAAAGTTTCTATTAATAAAGCATATACTCCATTGTCTTACCACTTTGAAATCTCAATAATTTGAAGCGGGCAAAACATGAAAGATTAACAGTAAAACAGTTTGACTTCATTTGAAAATTGTGCCTCTAAAACTTTATTGCCTCGTCTTTTCATGCAGTTGGTATAATATTGTCGAGCATTTCATTTTTTATTTTCAGGAGACTATATATGTGTATTTATTCGCGTTTGCATGCATGCATCAGTCATGTGGTTGTGTCTGTGTTCAGTTGTTTCTCTATCAGAGCGATAACTTAAAAAATATCAAACGTATTAATACGAAAATTTGAAAATGTGTGGGGTTTGCATTCATGCGTGTGGTTGTCGGTTTCGGTATTTGTCTCTCTGTCAGAGCGATATATAACTGAAGAAATATTAAACGTATTAATACGAAAATTTGTAATGGACACTGTCATTGCCCAAGGACAGATTGATTAAATTTTGGTAAATTGTGATGAGAAATTGAATGAAAAATGAGCAAAGATTTGTATTGCTTTGCCGGACAGAGTAAACTGAATGCGAAATTAGCCTATTTATAATTTATGCATGATACATAACTTGCCCTCTAGTTAATGTATCGGCCATCAAACTCAATAAAACTGAGCCAAGACCATGCCTAAAGTATCGCTAGGCCAAGTCTAAATGTAATATCAGGCCAAGCCTGAGTGTATTATCGTTAGCGGCGAACGTAGTGTTATTGCATCACCTGGAGCTGTGGCCGGTTGTTCAAAAGTCGGTTAGCTTATCACTAGGTTAACGAAAAACTTCAAAGCAATATTTACCCAGCAGTTGGTTTATAAACATTGGATATATTTTTCCAGAAATCCTGTCGGGATCAGCAGAAGTTTTATTTTCTAAAGATTTGAAATAAACGCGGACATGCGGAAATACAAAAACCGGATTATAACGGGTTAAATTTTAACCCAGGATTAACTAACGTATAACTCTGATAAATTAAAAAAGAGCACTAAGTAAATTACACCCCTAAGTTCATTTCAGGCTGTTTTTCCTGCTACGATTTTGATAAATTTCCGAAAATAATGTAATGTATGAATGAGTAACAAATATAATTACACCCGCAAGTCATTTCTGACTGTTTTTCATGCTATGTTTTTGATAGAGTTTCAAAAGCAAGTACTATATAAATAATTAAATGAAACCCCCCAAAGTCAAGTCTGGCTGTTTTTCCAGCTAGGATTTTGATAGAGTTTCGTGTGATACACAATAGGACTAGGTCTTTATGCAGTTTGTGCTCTGAGGATATTGTCCATGTTTCTCTCCTGAAGCGAACAAAGCGCACGCTAGCGCGGTCATTCTCTCATCTTACTCCGTTAATTACTTAAAAGCGGGAACAATTTAACTCACAACAACTTTCTTGTCGCAGAGGGCCTGAAATACGCGCTCAATTTGATTTCTTTATCGGACGTTTACTCGCAGTGGTGAGCAATTAAATACCATTGCAGGTGTTCTCCGATCAGTTTGCCGACCAATTTTAACACTAACGCTCTTTCAGTTGCACGCTATTTGAATGTCTTTGTGGGGTTTTAATGTTTATTTTGATGGAATCGTTGAGCGAATGTATAGTTCTAACTATAGTCTATTCCCAATTTTGCCGGATATATGACAAACTTTGCTACTTTGCTATGTGACGTGTATTATCGATAAATTAATCATTACTCAAGGATAATTGGCCGAAGGAGAAAGTTCCAGTCGCATGACAACAGAGTAATTTTTACAAATGTTTTCAACAAGTCTATTAGAGACATGGATTGAGACATCTGCTTTGGTCATCAGTGAAGATCGCCTACTGCCGCAGCCATTAAGACACCCTCGCAAATTTTATGTCGTATAGATAAAAATACCTTCTGTTGAAATACAAAACAATTTGGCTAAAGTATTTCCCGCAGACCGCTAATTTGGAGAAATAACAACCAAAAAGTTGATCACTGACCAGTTAGAGATATTAACCACCCTGTTGTAGGAATTGTACAAATTTGACAGAACTCAGCCATAGGCTGAGGTAATATAGTCTCTATTCCCAGGACTTTAGTCTCTATCGTCTAGCCACTGTTGATGGCGGCTGCACGCGTGATCTATAATGTATAGAACAGAAACAACTTTCAGTGAATTAAGTCATACAAAAAGTTACCATCGCCTTGAACATGAAGCAAGTTCAACTATCAATCAACGCAATCTATAGATGACATTTGAAACTTGCCGTAAACAAAATTCAAAAAGAGGAATATCCTGCAATTTTCTTTAGGACTTAATTGTTTTAGTCACAATGAGAATTGACTGGATATTGTTTGCAAAGCGGTCCTCCTGGATCAGTCCGGCTATAAAGGCTGTTCGATTCAAATTCAATGACAGAATATCTATACAATGTCTATATCAACTACCGAATATATACAGTATTATAGTAACATATATCTTAAAATTAGACTATACTATTGAATTAAGGCCCATTCAGACCCGGTTCAAAACTGTCCAAAATTGTTGGTCCGCAATCATATTATCATGGTTGGATACTTGGATGATCATCAGTCAACTCATTACCAAGTAATGTTCAAGCAGACCCAACAGTATCGCATTCAGCAATCGGGGAATTATACAGAACTGTGGCAAGCATGCGGGAAATTAGGTTTCGTGTTGTACATATGTGATTTAGCCAATCTATAAATACATGTTCGCGTCAATAGCCCTTTAATACATGGCGGTCAATCGAAATTCGAGTGCAGCAAAAATAAAGGAGCTAAAAATTCAAGTGGGTAAAATAAAAGAGAAAGAATAGACGAACTTAAGATAAGGGGCGCGCCGTGCCCGTAATTAAAGACAAACAAATGAGTAGATTCGGGATTTCCTTGTCTAATCACAATTAGCGAATTGTGATCAATTAGCTAGTCCACTTAAGCAGTCAAATTGTATTTGAATGAAGATTAAAATATTTTGATGATGGATTTCCATGGCAAACTTAAGAGCTACACGTAGCGTCGCAGGGGTAGTTCATCTTAAACTGTCCGTCGGTCTTTGATAAAAAGCAGCAAAACATTGCTCTTAGCACGAAGTGCATGTCCGAGTGTTCAGGTAAACAAACGCCTTTATTACCCTGGTCTTGTAAAAGAAGTGTTAATCTCGTTATATCACTTCCTTATCAAATCAAATTCTCTGTATACGATTTACCGAGTATATACGTTGTATAGCCATTTCCATATAGCTGAATTTCTGAAGACGCGACCTTCAAAGTATTATACTGAATTTCGTTGCGTCAATAAACTAAGTCAGTAATACGTCAACAAATGTCTTCGGCTGTTTTTATTATATTATAGATCAACGATAACGAGCTTGTAGTTTTCCGACTTTGAAGTAGGGTTATGAGCATGCACTTTATTTTTATATTTCTACATGCGTGACTACATGCAATATTTAAAAAGAATCTTTAATCAAGAGTTCTCTTATTCATTCTACAAGATTAACGATTTTTGCACATAAACCTACCACCAGCAAAGTCCACAAGTTATAAAAAGAGCCCACCGACGTTTTCGGAGCACCGGCGACTTGTAAAGAGGTTTTTATTTAGTTCGGTCAGTCTTAAATCTTTAAACTCTTGTTTTTGTTACGTCTGTGGTAAGATTAAAATACGGACATCGCAAAGTTAACTGTTATCACTTATGAATTAAAAAAAAATGTGAGGATTGTGTGGTACGTACTAAGCTGTTTTGTGATTAGTTCTGAAAATTTGCAACACATATTATGGATTATATTTAATTAATGACCATTGCGTGGTCAGAGCGATTGGACGGTTTCGTCGCTTTGCAGTATCGTTTATAGCGCCGCCATTTAATTCACGAAACGGCTATTTACTGCCTTAAACCAACAATTAATTGTTCGGCGCAACGCGTTTAAATGAAGCGGCACTCAGCTCGATCCGCGCTTCATTATTCTTCTGCTTTTTACCTGCCCGGTGCGTGCGTCAGCCAATCAGAGCCAAGAACGCAACGGAACTTTGTCGACTGTCTACATTTGGCCCGCAGTTGGATTTTACATTAGTACTTGTGAGGAGGTTCTTCCGGGCCGAATCTATATTTAAGAGAAGCAACTCTGCCAACGTATTCATTCTTAGAGTGCAACTCCAGAGAGGAAAGATGTATTCACTTACCACCACTCTCTTTCTGATCACGCTACTACGAGCTCCACGATATATGCTCGCCGACTCCTCTGTTCTACCGTCCGAGGCAAGCCCGACCAAATCGCTCGTATGGGAACGACGAATCAACGCAAGCCTGTTGCTGTTACAGAACAAACCATGCAAGTTCTTCATGTCAAATGGCAACTGTACACAGCTGAGATCTCGACCGAGAAGTGCTATGAACTTATACACGGCTAGTGCTCAAAATGCCAAACTAATAGCTGTTTCGCCAGATAAAATCAAGCTTGTCCCAACTTCCTACGAAGCTGTCCTGGTAATCGATCCTTACCCAGAAGCAAGTTTTGGTCATCCAGTTTTAGTTTTCTTCACTGAAATCTCAAGTACTCTTACAGACTGCAATAGTAACAAAAAATCTACCTTCACTCGTAAGTTTTACTATCAAATTATATTACTTTGCATTTGTCTGTAAATTGATGTCTCCATTTCTCATTTCAAGTTATTCGCATGCATTTTCCATTCATTTTGTTTTAATTTTTGGAGGTGCAATACATATTTGTTGGATAAGTGTCGCGGCCATTGGTCGGTTCATTGGACTTGGGCAATTAAAGCATTAATGATTGTAAAACAATATTAGCGCTATTCAAAAATTATCACGGTGACTTTAAAGAAAAGTGACATATATTTGATTCCTGCTATTCAATTTTCTGGCGGATCTTTTGTGCCAACAGCGTTACCCGCCAGAAATTGTCACAAGCAATGAAAACCTAATTTGATGGAATCAATTAAGTCAGTTAAATCGTGTCTATTGGAGATATTGATCAGTTTGAGAATGTAGAATACAATACAGTGAGAGCGTTTTTGCCTTAATTTAGTATCTTCCTTCATAATTCCAGTGCAGCAGCCACTTTTTATTGTACTGTCGTAGACGAAATTTATATTTTGGGGGCCTTCGCGACCATGTTCTCGTATTACAGTATAAGTAACATGTGAATATTATGTGAATAATATGTCAAACCTTTACACCTTTTTGGTCGTGCTTAAAATATTTTTTGAGACTGCCGTTCTGAATTTTAAGCTATCTTTAATCTATCTTTAGTAACGCCAGTATAACGGTTACTTATTGAATTTCTGTTTCTTTTAAATCGAATATTGCAGTGCATTGCCATTGGCAACATAGACAACATACTGTATCAGCTGGTAGCTTGTAGCTTTGAGTCCGAAAAGCACGTAATGCGAATTTCGTCCGTGACTCTAAAATTTCCCCCTTTTTATTTTTGGAAGACGGAGAGTGTATTACGATAGCTCAAAAAAGTCGTCGCTGCACGAACCGACTGCAAGATCGAAAACGAAAGAGACGTTGCGACATCAATTTCGTTCCGTCGGTATTCACGAAAGAAGAAGGCCGACATGGCACACAATTGTTGCAATGCAAGTCCAAAATGGCAGGTTTTGCCAAATGTCCTACCTCCCTGACCGTACATCCACTAGATGAGAAATGTTTGAACACAAAACGATGTGCTATCACACCGAAGTCAATCAGACAACGACATTGTACTGCTACGTGTGACTACGCCGTGTTGCTGTCAGGAGGTTGGAATACATTCACAGCTACAACGAAGTCGAAAGACAATGTCAAGTTGATGTGGAGATATTTGAGAAACAATCGTTTCAAACATGAAAATATTGTGACTTTCGTTGGAGACCGATACTCTGTTGAACGTAAGTAACATCTTTGTAACAAAATTTTAGTCTTGCGTAATTATGCTAGCAAAGTGATCATTATACGCTAAATATTATAGGCCTAGTATGTCGTTCTGGAAACTTCTAAAGCTATAGTCGTTTATACGGTGACTTCAGTTAAGCCTTTTATCTCTTACTTGAAAAAGTAGCTATATTGAGTATTGATTTTTCGTGATTTCACTGAACTAGCTTAATATCCACATTTATTATAGTTGCTACATTTTCTGATTTGATCGACTGAACGGATCAATAAATATATCGATAAACTCTCGACTAATCACAGAATAAAATTTTGCTCACGGTCCACTTGCATTTCCCAAGCCGAATAGTCACCGACCTTTTTTATAAGGAAATGAAATACTAGTGAAGTACTGATTTCCATATATGATAGCCTACAGGATAGCTTATGACTACATCTATAACTCTCGCTTGAAACTGCAGGTTTAAGAGGGGATAAGCTTACTGCTTACATATTTAATAGCTCAGAGCAGCATCAATTGTAGATATAAAAGCACAAACAATTTTCAAGCTGTTTCTATTTGGATTTCTATATACAGTCTATATGCAATACACTTGCTTTTTAGGGGCCGGGTTGGGTGACCTCATATTAATTGGCGGTAACTTTAACTTAATCGAATCAAATTTTGACCTTTGTTTTCTTGACTAGTGACTTGTGACCCGAACAATACACCAGGTGATAAGTCTTGTGCTTGATTCAAGTTAAGGCTGGTTGAACGGAGATAAAATCTCGCCGCTATTACTGTAGTTTAATGATAGATTTGTTTTAAGGACGAGATTAGCGGCTGTAGATAATGTGCAAACTCCTCCAGAGGCTGGCCGCTCGTAATAAACGACAAACTAGAAATGCAAAGATCAGGCAATCAAAATAAGCGACACTTAATTAATGTCCCTATAATGCACGAGGCATTATCTTGCGAACCGCTTTGTTTTCTCACATTATTATATTTGCACTTGCAAAATGCAATCTCTTTAAAGCGAGGCGAAAACTCGAATCAAACGTAGCACGAGCTACCGACAAATAGCGCACAAATTTTACTACTGAAAGCGGCATGATTTACACTAAAGTTTATCACTTGTCGGACGCAATTAGTTTATTGACATAAAAATTTACTTGAATACTTTCAGGTGCATGCATGGCGAAGAGACGGCGTCTGAAATAATAACCTTCTACTTTCCTGCTGCTAAAACGAGAGTTTAACTGAACAAAATATGTATATCTATTTCGAAAGAGACCTAATGTATAAAATAATCTGGCGTGGTGTTTGGGCCATGATTGGGTAAAAAAACCATCATTCATAATGGCCCTTTTTTGGTGATGTTGAAACCAAAAGGGCTTGACCTTTGACGTGTACCAGATGTATTATAGGGAAATGGGAAATGTTTGACGCGCTAAGTTGCATGTTTGAAAATATTTAGATTTAATCTAGTCGGAGTCTTTGCATCACACCCCGACATTTATTTATCGCATTCCAACCATTAAGCGATAATCGTTCTGACTGTTTCCCTTTCATGATGGGTGTGTGTTTATGTCTGGGTGACATCCGAAATACCAAGGGCAAGGTTTCGAAATCTGATAAAGAATTAAATACTAAATACGGATACAATTCTGCATACAACTGTAAAGTCCATAAGATCGTGAACAAGTTTTAATGTGGTTCATCATTAAAATTTTTGAATTACGAAACTTTCAATCCAGGGGTTTAGTTTGAGTTCGTTTCAGTATAGGTGCACCTCGAGCAAATAATAAGCAATTCAGTATGGTGCTAAACGTTTTTCACCTTTTGGTGTTTTATGTTAAAACATACATACTATTCTCACTTTGTTGAGAAAACACTTATATATGCTGTGGGCCAACTAAGCCTGCAACTTTGCAGATTATTTTCAAATAATTAATCAGTGGCGTGCTGGCCGGGGGGCCACGGCACCCCCAGCTGGCAATTTTTGAGGGGCGCAAAAATGAAAAGGGGGCGCCGATCCCGCGCCGAATTTTGAAAGTAAGTGGGAAGAAACGCATTCGTAGAAATATAGTAACTAATTCCGCCAAGGAAAGATGTGTTTATACACTTATAAACAGACTAAGCGCATAGGCGACAAAGTGAGTGAGTATATTAAATTGCAGACTATTTTGTCTAATTGTATTTGCTAGCTCACGACTCACACGAAATCACTCGTTCATATAGAAACATGATCAGTGATCACATGCAATGTCTCATTACCGGAATATTGATCAGGCTTCGAAGCGATCACGGGAATCATGCATATGCGTGGGGTCCGTGTGTTATTGTATAAAAGATCTGTAAGTTGTAAATGAATTCAGATCAGTAGAGAATAAAATTGGGATTAGATTAATTGCTGGAAGTAGTTAGCATTGCCCAATTTAAGTGCTACTACTAAATTCTAACCAATTTTCAAATTTCGACACGTTGTAATGCCGTTTCCTGACCATCAGATTTCTGTCAAATCTTCCCCCAAAGTCCAGGAAATGGCATTTCAGAGACTCTAAATTCAAAAATTTTCCCGGGGGGGCATGCCCCCGGATCCCCTAGACAAACCTCGCACCTGTGGCGCTCGGCTCGTGCCTTCGGCCCTCGTTTATCAAGGGTAATATTATAGGGGCGCATATTAGTTGCCAGCCGACTGCCCCCCCCCAGAAAAATAGTACCCAGCACGCCACTGTAATTAATATAATGGAATTCTTTATGAAATATACGGTTAGAGTGCTCAATAGAGCAAATATATATAGTTGGTTTACCTCAAATCTTCACTACTGTCAATTTCACCCTAAATGGGATATTAATACCTATTATATGGGCCGGATCTTAGAATGGAGTCACCTGAAAATCCCAAAATTCCCATGCAGATGAAACCAACTGTAGTGAAGATTTTGAAATAAATTAATATATTTTTCATGAATTATATGTACTGCATTTGCAGGATTATTAAATGAGATATTTATTTTTGTATATATAGCTTTGACGAACATTTCAGGTCATGACTTTTATGAAAATGTCTGTCTTGTCTGGTATTTTACTATTGATTTTTTAATCAGACCTTATACGATGACGTGGGATTTTTGAATGATGTTTTACAATGAAAAAGGGCATGCGCCATTGTTAAGTGGATTTTGAACAAAACTCTTATATCCACGATTTTGTACCGGTGGATCAATTCCGAAATGATCTTCCATTTGCTCCTAATGTTTCAGTTTAATCCCAACCATGATAAAGTTAATGGGAGCGTGTTGATTTACCTAAGCCTCTTAACTAAGATCTTAAATCGATAAACTAACAGTTTAAAAATGTTTAGAATGCTGTAATGGAAAATTTTTAAAGCAACCCGCCAACCCTATTAGGGTTGCTTAAAGATTTAAACTTTTAGATCTGCAATTAATGATTATAGGCCCATATGAGCCATGACACAAATTTTGATCAAGTCACATGATCAATTCCTATGGCTATGCATAGCAATCAGCAGACAACTATAAGAACTGAAATTCCGTTTGGTATTTACCACTGGTATCTGCCGGTTATTAAATTACTTTATTAGTTGTCTGGCCAAAACCATGCTATAAAAACTTCACAGCAAACAACAGCTAAATCCAGCAAAGGCGCCAGAAGTGTTAATGTTAATCAGTCTTGAAAAATCAAACCTCGATTTCCTGTTGCTGTGAATACAGACGCAGTATTATTAAAATTAGCTATCTATTCTTGGTTAACTTTTTTGCCTTCTGGCTATGTGAATCTTAAAAGACTATCGTTATTGGTTAGACTCATGTATATACAATTCGAATTTTTATAGTTTTCGTTTCTCTAATTATTGCATTTCCCCAAATATACCAGCATTCAAAATAACATGAAATTTATGCTGCTAAAGGCCCTAGCTTGTTTCAGTTTAACGATTTTCTTTTGAACTAAAAATTATGATTTTGAGACAAATTCAAAACTGTCATCCATGGTGAAAATATATCAATATGCCAGTCAGAAAAATCCTAAACAGCATAAGTTGATATGTTATATTGTAATATAACGAATGTTGATCATTGAATTGGTGTATTTTCTATCCGTATATGATGACTAGAACTTTTAATCATATTTCGTTGACGTCTGGAGATGAACATTCCCCATCATTTGCTTTTTCCTTACGTCAATCGTCAGCGATTGGTGCCGATGTTTAAGTGGTAGTCCATATCTTCAGACATCTCAATTTCTACTGAAAGAAGCCGCCTGATATTATCTTCATGTGTTAAATATGACAAACATATCAAGAAATTTATCTCTAAAAGTTATTACATACACGCGTACTAAGCGGTCATTGGTATGCTATAAAGTATGGAAGTGTATAATGGAAAAAGGATTTATAAAAAATTGCAAAAAATGTATTGCACATATGAAAAAAATTAAAAATCGTGTACCATCTGGATAGGGAAGCATGCAGTTCATTATTTATGTTGCATGACTGAGTCTTATACCATCATGTCAACACTAATTTGTCTTCGTTCTAAGCCACATTTCTAGCGTTCCTAGTTGATGTCGTTTGTGGTAAAAATTAACCTTATCCTGTCTCTCTGCTATATTAGAACTGTTAAATTGGGCATGAGAATATTTATAGGTCAGTCCGGCTTTTACATACTTTTACAGATTGGTGAAAATACAGTATACAGCCTAGTGAATTATTCTTCAACAAGAACTTATAATTCAGGGGGGGGGGGATTATAATTTAGTAATATCTCGTACTTTCTTGCTATAAATTAAATTAAATTAACTGCGTATTTTGATTTACATTTGAATCGCGGGATGGTAACCTTGGTGAAAACATAACAATGTAGCAGATGATTAAAAGGTCGAATGATTAAAAGAATCACAAGCCAACTTTGTGCGTTACTATGAAAATCGCTCTGAGCGCGCCCTCAATACATGTTGGGTACGACGCATCGTTATGAGCATAATCAGCGGCATCATTTATTTTTCAGCTGTAAAATAGAGAAGATTGAATACCTTCCTACCTTCAGCAGCACAGTTGCACAAATTTTGATATGATACGTATGTCAAATCGAAAATGCCGGTTGACATGTTGCAATTAAATACCGCACTTAACTGGAATTGGACCCATCTTTCATTATCGTGCAAACTTCAATAGTTTTTTCTTTTAAAAAAAATGAACTAAATCCCTTATTTTGCCTCCCCAGCACTAAGTAGATTAGGAGACTAATCCAAATTGGAGATTTAGAAATTAAACAATAGCATGTCGATTTTAATGGAACTCGTGTAGGCATTATTTTTCCGCAAATTACTAACTGTTGAGTGATGTGTAGTAGAGCCAGCCAACAGACATTATACATTTTAGATAATATTACGAATGTCTAAAAAGGTGAGGGAGAAGAGCCCCCCTTGGCCCCACCTTGGACATGAACATTCTGATTTGTGGGTTGCCTGGTTGATTATAACAATAAAATATACAATAAAACTGTAACCACTTTTGTTCAAGAAAACAAAACATGTTTATTTTTGCTTCGTATTCACCGAACTTTGGTTTCGATGTCATGAATTGACTCATCAACCTTACTCCTTAGAAAAGGTTTTATAGTTTCATGACTTAAAAATATGAGTATTTACTGGTAATAAGGTTTACCGCAGTAGTATAGTTAGTCTCAGCATCGTGTCACCAGTAGTAGTTAGTCTCAGCATAGTGTCACTAAAATCACAATCACATTTCATGTATCCAAAAATCACATTTGGCTCTTCATACAAGATCTAAGATATACAAGTTAAAATATGTCTGTGAATTAACATAAGCTAAGAGATATCTTTCTGTAAATATTCAAACTAACATATTAAGCCGACTAAACAAGTATGTTTTATACATCCCTAAATTTAAACTACTTAATTGAATTTTCTTTAGCTTATGTAAATTCATAGACATTGATTCATAGCCTATTTCTTTCAAATGGACCTTTAGGTGACTTACAAATTGTCTATGCTCTGAACAGTTTCTAATTTACCTCTATTCGTAACTTAATGAATTTCGCCGGTTCATTATAACTGGTTAAGAGAAGTATGCGCCAGTCCTGGTGGTCGACAAACATCTGCCTGTATACAATGAATTTGTTGACGTTCTTTTAAGGAACAGTCATTCATTAATTAGGATTGGTTCCGAATAGAAATTGGTTTGATGATCTTTTTTCAGTAAATTAAAAGTCAACGTATAAGCAGCGATTTCATTGCGAAATGTCCAATTTCATTGACAATTTGATGTTTCTTATTATAATCCCCCCGCCCGCCCCCTCCACCTTGAATAGCTTCGTTAAATGTGGGTGAGCTATTCTTGTAATATTTACTGTATATACAGTAATTTCAATTAAGGTTGTCTCAAGTAATTCAATTGTACAATCCAAGCGCGAACAGTATAACAGGACTGGGATTTTTATAGGGTGAAATGTATTATAAATCATATTATTTGTATATTTACAAGTAATATAGTTGTCGCATGCGTGATTCTTTATAGGCTTATAACCCAGATATAAGGTATACCCAACTTGCTGTTCCCGCTTGGAATGTACAATCAATTGACTGGTTTCAAACGTTGTGCTTCTCATGTGCCGAATACATTAAAAACAATAGATAATGAGGCATTTCAGCTGATTATCTATTGTTTTTAATGCATTCGGCACATGAGAAGCGCGCCTAAAATTGAGTTGGTTGAATAAAATTGCTTTTGACTTTTGTGCCGTCATGTAAAAATAGAATTCTTGCCAATCCATTTCACACAAGGGATAACAATATAAATTACCGCACATGAACGACATTATTTAGTCAATTTCACAGCAACCTGGCTCTATATCAACTGCTGTTTCTAGATATCTGTATGTAACCTATATGTTGAAAGGGCCTACAATACTGATTGGTTTTAATAGTAGTGTTCCCGCCATTCGTCACTTGTATAATATTGTATTTGTATTGTATGCATGTCATTCGTGTAGTTTTACCTGGCGAAGTTGAATAAATAAATATCAGAAATTGCATTGTCAGTTGCAGCCTTTAACAATAGATTCCAAGTGAAAAATATATTTTTCTTTGAAGAATAATATCCAATCTTTCTTCCAACTTTTCTTATAGTTGATGGAAATCCGCAGACCAAAGATAGTGTGCCTGCAGACAGCGAGTTCAAAATTCGCAGCCAAATTAAAAACCTGTGTGGTTCGATGTGTGTGGATTCTCTTGTCATCTATCTAAACAAACCCACGAAAAGTAACGGAGGAATGCTCATATGGGATGAAAACTATGATGGTTTTGCCGAAGAATCAGAGAGATATGAAGTTAGAGAATTTTTTGACGATCTGAGAAACTGCAAAGCAAAGCAAGTAACCGTTCTTGCAGATCACAGTTTTTCTGGTCTTCTGTTGGACAAGTTCCGTTCAGCAAAGCGTCATTCATCACGTGGTACTCTGAAGAATGTTGTGGTAGTGACGTCGGCCAACTCTGATGGTTATTCAACTCGTGGCAGTTTTACAGAGAAATGGGTTCGATACTCTTTGCACAGACACAATAGACAGCGTTGTTTAAAAGATGTTATTCAGGTAAATTTAACTAAGATGTGTTTTTAAGGGGACGACGGCTAGCAAATGCGCTTAGCGCTTTGCCCCTAAAGCCCGTTTTCCACTCACGTATTTCGCCGCCGCTGGCGAAAAATTTCGCCACCGAAAAAGTTCCTTTGTTGTTCTTTCGCGCGTCAACGAAAGGTCAAACAGAAGTTGAAAATTTTAAGCAACTGTAGCAGGAGAACAAATTTCTTCAGCGGCGAATGAATGTAAAAAAATGATTTCTTTGTCAAAATTTTTCGCCAGCGGCGGCGAAATAACGGAGTGGAAAGTGGGCTTAACCACTGTGTTTGCTATTCTAGGTCAAGGGTAGGAGATTTACTTACGTTGGGTAACTTGAAAACTGATGTGAGTAAAGTTTGGTTGGTTTTCCCCTGTGCTTGGAGGGTTTTTCTCTGGATCATCCTGTTTTCCTGTCTCGCCAAATTAAATAACCTTAAATGGCTTCAGTTGCCGAGCACGTTTATCATGAGCCTCTGGGTCGGGTAAATTGGACAAACACACCCTGTGTACACGATGTTAATAACACGTTATTAAATATGGTGCTTTTTGCCCCAAAGTTCAGGTGCTCCAAGACACTATAGATCGAGATCACAATAGTTGTGCTTAGGCAACTCAACACTTGTATCATAATTGCATTAGCTACATATTAAAATTATTCATTGTTTAATTATGCAGGATATGACATCGCTGACAACAAATCAGTTTCAAGTGGACTTTGATAGTTCTTCCCAAGGCCTTCTTGACAAGACTATATATGGTGGATCATGTGATCAATCACTACATGCCTCAAGAAGAGATATGGGCTGCCACTTTACCTCAAGAAGGTATAGACTCTCAAACAGAGGGTGAGCATCCGGTGAAGTATTGACATTCTAAGAGCCGAACAAGACATATAGTCTTCATCCACGGTGGGTTTGGTATGATATCTATTGCACCTGGTAGTAAATATTTAGTTGAGACTGAAAGATGTCAGATTAAAGCAAGACTTTGTATAAACTGTGTATACGAATGCTGCCATTATTCATGCTGATTTGAAAGCAATTGAACTATACAGTTAAAACTGCCATTGGATGAACCTACTGTATATGACTGGCCATAGTTGGCATTGACTTTCTAACACCAAAATTTAGTTTGTCTTATTAGAACACTGGTGATGACGACAGCAATGAATAATTAGTATAATTGTTATAACAGCGCCGAAATGAATAATTATGTGCTGGTAGCCGTCTAAAGACCATGTTATACGAGGCAATTTCTGCTGCAACTTGCAACACAATTTCAGATATAGAGCCATGTTGATAAAAGGTAGTCACTCTGACTACACTTTTTTACCTAACATACCTTAAAAATTGTCGGCAGAGTAGCAGCGTGTGGCTATATTAACAATTTCCTTGTGACTAATTTTTAGATAACATGGGTCTTTGTCAGGCGTTGCACAATTAAATTACGCATGCAAGTGGTATGGCAGCAACGACTATAAATTAACAGTGAATGAGACAAATTTTATTTTGAATGCAATGGTATTATGTAGAGCAGTGTGTAGAAAAGATATTTACTTACAGAGTGATAAATTGTAAATATAAATGAATTCTATATAAAGTATATACAAACCTACCTATGAAATATGGAAGTTTGTATTGAAGTTTAACAGTATATTTCATAATGTATTATTTCATGACTTTCGAATTAACCAGTAATTGAAAGGATGTAAGTAATTCCAATGTACAGTTTAATGAAATAAAATAAGATTGAAATTGTTAATTGTAGAGGTTTTGATTTTAATGTCGCACTGCATGCACCTAACATTAACCATGAAAGGGAGAAGTCAGTGACGTAGTACGCTCAGACCTTCTGTGGGCCTCTTCGACAGTCGTGATACTCATTAGGGACCTTTAGCTAGCAGGACGGCGACGGCTATTAACACAATGAAATTTATGACAGTGTAGAAAGAAAATGCATAATTCTTTAATTATTACTCCCTTGGGAGTTTTAGACGTCGTCCTTGCTCTGTTTACAACAGCAAAACAAAGATTTTCACGTTTTGTATACAACGTCTGCCTTTCAAGCCGCGAGAAGTCGTCCTCGCCAAATTGGCCTAGTATAGAAGTCTTCTCAACTATAAACCCCTGTCTTAACCTTCTATTGCAATAAATTCATACAACGGATAATACAAGACATGTTGATCTTAAAGTTACTTATTTGAACGAGTTTGTTTTGACCGTCATCATCGCGTTGCCGTCACCTATTTGCTAAAGGTCCCTACTGCCTCGTGGACAGAGCGTACCTGACCCACTGCATGACCAGCTTAGTACCCCCTACCGGATGAAGCAGAGTCTATCCCAGATACCCAAGGCTAACAATATATCCCTTAGTTCTCTACACTGCTTATAATAAGCAATTCTCTATAATGCACATGCAATATATAAATAAACTATCATAGAATATTCTACAAGTCCATGCGCCATCCAGTTCTGCTCTATGCAATGACAGTGGCGTGCTGGGTACTATTTTTCTGGGGGGGCCAGTTGGCTGTCAACCAATCTGCGCCCCTATAATTTTACGCTTGATAAACGAAGGCACGAGCCGAGCGCCGCAGGTGCGAGGTTTGTCTAGGGGGGTCCGGGGGCATGCCCCCCAGGAAAATTTCTGAATTTAGAGTCTTTGAAATGCCATTTCCTGGACTTTGGGGGAAGATTTGACAGAAATCTGATGGTCAGGAAACGGCATTATAACGTATCGAAATTTGCAATTTGGTTAGAATTTAGTAGTAGTACTTAAATTGGGCAATGCTAACTACTTCCAGCTATTAATCTAACCCCAATTCTATTCTCTACTGATCTAGTGATCTGAATATATTTACAACTTACATCTCTTTTATATAAGAACACACGGACCCCACGCATATGCATTTTAAGATTCATCCTTGCCTGGCTGCCAAAAGGGCGCGTTTCAGCATTATTTCATTACTTACATTACTCATGATGTTTCTTGCGCAAACAACTAAATTGCGTACACAAATTTACATTATCATAACTTCAATTATCTAATTTGCGCTGCTCTCGTGGTTCGTGAAGCATAATAAAGGGCGTAATATAAGGGCATAATGCCAGGAAAAAAGGGCATAATTCCCGTGATCCCTTCGAAACCTGACCAATATTCCGGTAATGAGGCATTGCGTGTGATCACTGATCATGTTTCTATATGAACGATTTCGTGTGAGCCGTGAGGTAGCAAATTAGCAAATACGGTTAGACAAAATAGTCTATAATTTAATATATCACTTTGTCGCCTATATTCTTAGTCTGTTTATAAGCCTATAAACACATCTCTTCAGTTTCTTGGCGGAAGTAACTATATTTTTTCGAATTTCGTGTTTTTTTCCACCCACTTTCAAAATTCAGGGCGGGATCGGCGCCCCCTTTTCATTTTTGCGCCCCCCAAGAATTGCCAGCTGGGGGGGGGCGTGGCCCCCGCTCTGCCAGCACGCCACTGTCAGCAATGTTATACTATCCTATACTACTAGTAACATATATACACTACTTTATCGAATCCTTAATTACTCTGCACATTTTGCACTATGCCATATACCATCCACATCACACTCCACTAGTATGCTGTAACTAAAATCATAAAATCTAGGGACGGCGCTTTTGCAATTGTTTTACTGGATAATTAACAGAATGATGTACATCAGACTAAAATTCTAGAAAAAGCCCTGAAAAAACCAACCCACAAGTGCAGCTCGAAGATATCGTTGGCACGCTATAAGTAACTGATAAGACTTATGCAATACATAACGGTATAGTTCCGTAGTTCTTGGCACCGATTAACTTCCCTATTTACGCATATCTCTCATTTTACTACAGAATTGGTATGTGGGTTATTATGGGTAATAAGTATGGGGTTCTATAGCTGTTCTACCTTGCCAAATAAACATCCAATTTTTTTAGGCGAACCCGTCGATATGGGGGGGGGGGGGATACACTTTAGAATAATACAAAATGTCTGCACCGGAATGATAGTTTTATTAATTATCAATTCATGTACAATCATACGTACGCTGTGTCTCCAATTGTTAATTTAATTATTATCTAGGCCAAAATCAGGGTGTATCTACAAATCCTCAATGCAAGTGCAGTTCGTTTCAATCAAGTCTTTCAAAGCTGTCGTCAGAACGGCTACGACGTTGTGTTAGCATGTAGAATACCACAGCAAATAAAACATACATCACCATAACCAGGCTGTTGGCGACTTTTTGTTCGTCGGTAAGATTATCGGCGCTAATGAAAGAATGGAAAGAAGATGATTGAAAATTAATCATAGTTAGAAACAATATCTTAGCGGGGCCTTCATTGGGCAAAAAAATACAATCCTAGCCAAACGTCCTTGGAAAACCACAGATTATAGTCTTGTCTAAGTACTCTTATAGTCTTGTCTAGTACTGTACTCCCCCCTCCCCCTCTGGGGAAACGTTCTGAAAATGAAAATGGGGAAACTTTCAACATTGAATATAGGGGGTGGAGAAGGGAAAGAGACGTCTTGAAAATTAGAAAATGTTAGGACCTTAGGTGTCCCAAAACTTCTAGCTGCGTGCGCAAACATTACTAATAGAGAGCTTAAGATCTACGACGCGGCCGGCTCAACAACGCGGTCTGAATTTCAGCTCAAGAATGAGTGCTAAGCAATTTTATTGCTGTAATAAATGTTTGAAGATTTTTCAAATAACATTACAAACTGCTAAGTTCGACTAAAGCGTTGCAATGTTTGCTGTAATTTCCACTTTGAGTATACGTCTTGGGGCGCAATAAGCTTTCACGTTGCATGAAAGTAATTGGTAACATATACTGTTGTGGTGACCCTGCCATGAATGCATGCATGATAATGGCGAAGTTAAATAAATAAATAAAGACGTGATAATGCTTAGTTTAACGTTGTGCTGAGAATGGCAAAGCCGTTGAGAATACCTGGGACCACAAATTATTCACAGTTTTTGTCTGGCATGACAATTTCTTTCTTTCGCAAGCGCGTCGTTGAGCCGGCCGCGTCGTAGATCTTAAGTTCGCTAATGACAAGTGCGCAGAATGGCTCACTAGACCATTAGCAGAATTACTGCATGAAGCCCTTATGCGCATATACAGGGTGTATAAAAAAAACTGAACAGATTTGAAATTGCTCTCAATTTCGCAAAACACCTATTTGTATCTGGTTTTTTATATATATAGCTTCTTTGGGTACTTATAATCTAAAATAACGAAAAAAATTTCTCGAACTCAAATTTTGTGAACCAGGGGGGGGGTGTCTTTTCCAACAAACTAAAAATGGCTCGCGCACAAAATTTAAAAGCTGTAATTGGACACGCGTTATATGTATTACATAAAGTATTTAGCATAATTTAGCAAGCGCATGCGCTGTAAGCATGCTCTTAAGAACACATGTTTTTGTAGGAAAAGAAAATATAAGTTTTACCTCGGTTACTCGCTGTTTTTCTTGGGTAAAACAAAGGACTGCTAGCTAGGCAGTTAAAAGCAAGTAAACAATCGCATCTATTATTATGGTCCTTCGAAGACGGATGTAAATCAGCGAAAGAATGGCGTCGTTTGACTCATTTTGAAACAAGACAAATCGTAGAACGTAAACATGTCGCAAGAATCTCGTGAAATGCTAGCACAGAAACGAAGCATTACAAAGCGAAAAATCACCAATCTTATAAAGAAAGTCGTACCACTGGTGCAAAAGATCGAAAGCTCACAATTCGACATTGTATGTGCTGAACAATACTTAAAGGAACTTCGTGATTTGGATAATCAATTTCAGGAAATATATTTATTGGCCAACGCTCAAATCGATCCTAAGGATGAAGAACTGATCGCAAAAGACTACGAAGAGCTGGATGCTCATGACGATCGAATCAGAGAAACTGTAAGTAAACTCGTATTTTTTATGAGCACTCAATCTACCAAGGTTTCACATGAAACAAAATCATCTGATAGCAAAGATAAGAAAGCAATTATAGAACGAAAATGGAATGGTATTGTGACTAACATAAACAAAACAATTGCAAATATTGAAGAAGCAACTGATAAGCCTAATGAAAGCGATATTGAAGATCTTATCGATATCAGAAATCAAATTTCTGAATGTGAGAAATCTCTTGATAGTTTTACGAGTGAAATTGACTCGTCTATACCAGATATAGATGATGTAGATGGCGGAAATTGGAATGATCTTTTATCTAGTTATTTTGACAAAATTAAGTCAAATCAAGAGAAATTATCTCTACTCATAAAGCAACATCGCCGTGAACAAATGCAGCAAACTAAAGAGCTTGAAATTGAAAAGGAAAACAGAAATAAGGAGCTTGAAGTTAAAAACACTCAACAACAGCATGAACTTAACTTATTGTTAAATAAAGTCAAAGCGCTAGAAAGTTCTGAAGTAAATGAACAAAAAACTGTGAAGCTTCCTCCACTCAATATCCCTACATTTGATGGGGAACCCACTAAATGGAAGTCTTATTGGCAACAATTTCAAGCGACAATACATAACTCGAAGAAATTAGATAATCAACTTCGCATGCAGTATCTTCTGAAATCCCTTGTCACTAAAAGGGCTAGAGATGCAATAGAAGGAATCGATGCAGTTGCAGAAGCTTACCCTGAAGCTATTGCAGCACTCCAGGCTCGTTTTGATCGCCCCCAAATTATCCATCGTGCCATGCTAGAGCTTTGCTAAATGCCAAACCAGTTAAAGATGGCTCAAGCTCAGAACTGAGACAGTTACATGACACTTTCCAGCATCATTTAAGATCATTGAAAGCACAAGACAAGCTTGACTTTGATAGGTTTATGACAACATTAGGCGAGTCCAAACTTGATTCCCAAACAATGATTGAATGGCAAAAATTTACACAAGCAGAAAAGGATGTCCCTTCCTATACCAAATTCCTTGAATTTCTTGACCTCAGAGCAACAACTACTGAACTAACTTCCTTTGATGGAAATCAAAGAAAATTTCAGCCCTTTAACAAGAAACCAAAGTCGTACAGTCCTGGGAATTTTGGCAAATCAGAATCAGTCCATACCACTACCACACAAGTTAAGTGTTCAGCTTGCAATGGGCAGAAACACAGCATAGCCTATTGCCAAGCCTTCAAAGAGAAATCCCTTTCCGAGAAGCGTGCCTTTGTGTATGAAAAGGGACTTTGCCTCAATTGTCTGAAGGGAAGACATATGGCAAAGCAATGTCCTTCACCACATTCATGTCTTAAATGTGGCAAAAGGCATCACACTTTATTGCATGTTGATGATTCCAAACCACCTGAAAACAAACCTGAATTGTCAAAGCAAGGTGCCCTAAACAACAATTTGCCCCCTTTCCCAAACCCCTTTCCACCAAGTAATCCACCCACCAGTAGTGAACCCACCAGTAGTGATCCACCCACCAGTAGCTACGTAGCGACACCCAAAGCGAACAGCTTGAATAATGTTCTTATGATGACAGCTGAAGTCATCGTAAGCTCCCCATCTGGTCAACAAATAACAGCTCGAGCCCTACTCGACCCAGCTTCAACAGCGTCCTTCATCACCGAAAGACTAGCTCAACACCTTAAATTAAGAAGATCTAAACAAGAAATCACCATAAACGGAATTGGAGGATCCCAGTGCTCTACCCTAAGTAACAGTACTGTGAACATTAACTTGAAATCTACTCAGAGCTCTTCTACTCTGTCAAATGTGCAAGCTATTGTTCTTCAGTCCTTAACCAGGTGTCTACCAACCACTTCCTTTCCAAAAGGTCACTGGCCTCACTTGTCCTCTCTCAAGTTAGCAGATCCCGCATTCAATATATCTAAACCAATTGATATTCTTCTTGGCGTAAGTGCTTATCACGACATCTTGAAACAAGGGCTTATTCTTGGACCCAAAGGAACGCCGTCAGCTCAAGAAACCCTTTTTGGTTGGGTCTTGTTTGGCAATGTCAATGGTAATCGTTCAACAACAGAATCAGTCACAACTCTCCATGTATCTACTGCTTATCCTAGTTGCGAAGAAACTCTGAAGAAATTTTGGACATTGGAGGAGCCACCTAAACCTAAAGTACCTGTGTCACTCACTGACAAATTAGCATTACAACATTACAACCAACACCTCAAGCATGAAGAAAATGGTCGCTTTGTTGTTAACCTCCCTTTCAAACCACAGAAATCAACCTTGGGGGAATCACGCCCTCTCGCCTTACGTCGTTTCTTGTCTCTTGAACGTCGTCTTCATCGTTCCGAACAGTTTGAAGATTACGCAAATGTTGTGAATGAGTATATTTCCTCTGGTCATGCTGAAAGAGTTCCCAATAATGATCTCAACAAACCCTCTTCGAATACCTTTTACTTGGCCCACCATGCTGTTTACAAAGATTCGGCAACAACTCCTCTACGTGTTGTCTTCGATGGTTCAATGAAAACCACTTCTGGTGTCTCTCTTAAAGTGCATATGACATTAATACCATTTTTTCACCAAAAATCAGCAAAAATTAGACAATTCGAATGATATATATCATTCCTTGATCGGATAAATACTTCCAGAGATAATTTAGATCAAACAGGCAAAAAAATAGGGTTTTTCAAGACATGGCCGGGAGAAAAGAGGCTGAGTACGAATCAGGTTTGTGATGTCACACCGGGAACGGAAGTGAATCGACTCATGTTGTATTACAATAAATATCTATTGTGTGCAATGAAAATTTGTATACTTTGCGCTTCGAAATGCCTGTTAGATATGTTGTATACGACTGTTCTAACACAACAGATGCTACAAATCAAATAGCTCTACATCCAATACCATATTATGTAGATTTTCGGCTGCAGTCATTAAGGAGAAGGAAACATTGGATAGATTTGGATAAATTGAAGCGAGCAAGAACGGAGCCGTCTCGTCAATTGTCAAAGGCATGTTTGCACAAAGACATGCATTTCATGTCGAGGCTAAAAGAATGCACATTTCCTCGACTGAATGAGATATGAAATTGGGATTAGCGTTTATCTGACGGTACAAACTGCGGTCGAAACTCGAAAGGCAGGAGGACATATAATAATGCTATTAAAAATGCGAGGGTGATTTTATATACACGCAAGGTGAGACAATGTCTTATAATTTCCCTTTAATATACTTGGTTTTATAATTGTTGAGAATGATAGTATTGGATATTAAAAATAAAAGGAACTTTATTAAATACAATTGTATTATACTACATTAAAATTAGATAAAAGTTCTTTAAAAGTTTGTTGTTAAAACAGGACCCAGTATTAAAATATTCAATGTTCATATTTGAGTGCATCTATAATCAATACTGCCAAATGCCCCAACTGCATTCGATATTTCAATGTTACCAA